TGAAGGTGTGTTTTTAAAAAGGTAACTAAGTAACTAAGTAATTAATTACTTTTGAAAATAAGTAATCAGTAAAGTAACGGGATTACTTTTTTGGGGAAGTAATCAGTAATTAGTTACTGATTACTTTTTTCAAGTAACTTAACCAACACTGGTCAGAACATGCTATATCATCTTTAGATGGAAACTAGCGAGCTAACTCCGTTAAACTTCATAAATTCTGTTTTCACGGATGCCTGGATGTTAAACTTCATTGTTACACCTGATAGAGGAGCCACACTAATCATTTTATTGAAGATGAAAGAATTTAGACAGTTTGTAACTCTCAGTGACGCCGCAGTGTTCTTATGACTTTGGGACCTGAAGCAGAGTTTGGACCCGGAGCAGGCTAATGACGTCGGACGTAAAGACCGGATTGGTATGTGTGACTAATTTTATGCTTTATTATTATTTTCACCACAAGGGCATCTCGATAAAATCTGGTTTGGGATCACTATCACTTCTGATTGTTTCACACTTCCTCCTCATGCTTTAACAGTTAAATTAAGAGTTAAATTAGCCTGTGGCGCAAAAAACCACAAAGTCACAGTCTGCTGACTTATGCTGACAGTTCTGTGTCCTGAACGAAAACGGTCTCTCACCTGATTGGGCTACGGTGCCTATGTCCACGCCTTGTTCCTCAGCCATGAATCCCAGCACCGAGAAGATGGCGAATCCTGCCAGGAAACTGGTGGCGCTGTTCAGGAGGCACAGCATAAAAGAGTCCCTGGAAAAATACGTAAATACACACACAATTAATCTGAGTTAACTAATTAGATTTCAATACTGTGCTGTCCAAAAGTCTTGAGCCACCCCTCATTTCCTTATATTTGAGTGGTAAAACCATGCAAACATACATGAAAATCCAGGATATGAGGCAAAAAGGGAGTTTGTACAATTCTGACAAGCTTGAAAGTCGATATTTGATACGACCAACTTAATTCTTTCAAACAGCCTGAACTCTCTTATTTAGCTTTCTTGTTATTTCTTTAAGAAGTCTTCAGGAGCAGCTCTCCAGGCTTCTTGAAGCTCTTCCCTGAATGTGAAGATGGAAGTTTTTGGCTAATAGGTCTAATAGTGAAAATGGTCAGGTACTAGAACAGGACTGAAAGTAAGTAAAAAAGCAGCCAATGTCCAAAGAAAGAACCGTGAAAGACCTTCGGAAGTCTGGAGAACTATTACTCAAAAAACTGCACAACAGTCTGGCTCCTGGTAAGCAGTATATACAGAGGGTGTCTCAAGAGTTTAGCACAGCACTGCGCTGAACACAAAAAAACCCCCTGTGAAAACTGAAAGACAGAACACAACCCCACTGATGACTTGATCTGTCCTGTTACTGTAAATACAAGTCAAGAGTCAAGAGCTCGACTCTTCCTGAGTGTGTGTGTGTCCTACAGTGTGGGAAACATGGCAGCGAGGGCTTTTCTTTAAGGTGTGGCTGTATCAGTGTGTTTTCTCTGTCCATTCCAGCCATTCCTGCTGGAAGCCATCTGACCAGTGGGAGCTTACATCTTACATTTCAGCAACTACAGTTTGTCTCAAGTCAAGTGGAAGAAGGAGAAGCTGTGTGGCTGACTGTTTTTATGTGGTTGTATGCATATATGTCTGTGTGTGTCTGACATAGTGCCTCACTTATAGCAGTCATTGTTGTATTTGTTGTAACTGCCCAGAGCTGTGAGACTTCCCAAGCAGATTCCATAAGAGAAAAATATTTGGGTACCAGCATCCATCCATACCTACAGAAACAAAGAGAAACAGAGAGCGAGAGGAGAAAGTGAAAGGACACGTTAGCCCACAAGCTCATATCTAACTACTGATGTACTTTATCAGCCTCGGCTGCTGTACAAGATGTTCTATATTACACAGTTTTTAGGTAACATGACACAAACTTGGCTAATTAACAGAAACAAATAGATACTGATGCTGTCAAACCGTACCCACACGATAATAACAAACACTTTTTTCACACCAGCGAAGAAGAGTTTGAAAGTCGCTTCTGAATTTATAGAGCGCAAAACCACAGCGACAGTAAGATCTAATGATCTAGTGATGAAAATGTGGCACAGAGCAACAAATCAGATGTCACGTTGTAAACTACATTCAACTTCACAACAATAATCCAATCTCCTTCCTGCTGTATGGCCGATCTGACATTTACTCACCTGACAGCGCGGCTCTCCTACCTGTAGGAGCTGCCGTACGACCTGTAAGAACGACTAGAAAAATGTCCTCCGACGTGATGCTTTTCAAAATCTGCCACCGTTTACGGACACATAAAGCGAGTGTGCGTTTGTGTTGTTGTACCTGTGGGTCTGCCAGGCGGGTAACGTTGGGTTTGAGGTAGTAGATGATTCCCTGGGTGGCTCCGGGCAGGGTGGCACCACGCACCAGCAGCACAAACAGCATTACATATGGAAAGGTGGCTGTCAGGTACACCACCTAGAATGTACACAAGAGCGTGCAGGGATGTGGTCGCAGAGACAAACAGGGAGGATGTGACTGTGATGTTCTTTAAAAAAAAGAAAGAAAATACTACAAGAAGGAAAGTTGGAGTCTTAAAATCTGTTGACTGACGGCGGCGGAGGCACAGCAAATAAGTCCGACAAAGTGGCTGCAGTGTCGTGGCCTTTATTTCTCATGTGCTACATGAAAGGAGAATTATGTTTTGGACTTTACCGCTCCTCGAGGTTCTTTTTAAAAGACTTTATGTCACCATAAAAATGCTCCTGCCGTAGATATTTTTAAAATTTTATTAATAAATGGGTGCCATTAAGTTATATGTAAGCATGTTTTGTTTATGAGGTAGGCATTTGGTTTTAAATGACCTTTTCATAGTTCCTTTGGAAACTTTTTTCTTCTCAAAAATGTATGTTGGCTATGCACTGTGTAAGAGGGAGAAAGTCAAACACATTCTCCTGCTTCTACCTTTCTTTCTAAGCGACCTTTTGATTTGGAAATATGTCCAAAATCAGCCAGGTGGAGTTATAAAATCCCCTAACCTTTTCCCTACCCATGCTGGACAACATCCACCAATATTCACTCTTAAATAGTACATAAAGTACATAAAGT